TTACTATTACTATTACTATTATGATTAGTATTACTTTTACGATTATTATGATTATTATTTGTATTGTTTCCTTTCTTGCAGTCTCTTCTTGTTTTGCACTGAAACGGTGGTGACCCAGGGTACGAGAGTGTCACCCCTGTATTCCGAAACGTCTCAGCCCCTAAACTCCTAAACCCGAAAGCCCAAAGCCCTAAACCCTAGACCCCTAAACCCTAAACCCTACACCCCTAAACCCTTAAAGCCCTAAACCCTAAACACCTCGAAACAATAAGCCCAGGTGGACACGGGCGATGCGCGGGCGATCGCGGTACTCATCGACATGCTCGCAGACAAGGAGTGCCTTGGGACCCGGAGATTCGAAACGCCCGAAAAGCCTCCTTGGCCAAAAGCCCTAATATAGGGGCCTTAATAGTTACCTATACTATCTTTGGGGGGTTCATTGCTAGAAAAGCCCTAATAAAGGGGCCTTAATAGTTACCTATGCTATTTTTGGAGGGTCCTTGGTATAAAAGCCCTAATATCGGGGCCTTAATAGTTACCTGTATTATTTTTGGAGGGTCCTTGGTATAGAAGGCATAAGCCAGTGTGAGCGCTGAATGGGCCGTCAAGTCATGTTGTGATCATGGTTGCGATCGTTGTCGTCGTGGTCGTCCTCGTCTTCGTCGTCGTTCTCGTAGTTGTTGTTGTGGCAGTGGTGATGCTTCTGGTTGTTCCTGCTGATGATGTTGTCACCCAAGCCCGACACCATAAGGCCACAAACCATTCTTTCCGCATTCAGGTCCCGATATTACCCGAGGTGTCCCACCCTATGTAGCCAAAATGTCTAATGTCGGGAAGCCAACACCGTGCTTCTTCCATGACCCTAAACCCTAAACCCTAAACCTAAGTCTGCAATTTCCCCCGCCTCGGGAGGAGCATCGTGTCCGAAGCGCCGTGGTGGAGTCCCTGTCGGAGGTCGGGACTCGCTGCTCCTCGCAAACAACCCTGGAAACACCCCCCGAATTTTCCCTAAACCCCAAAACCCTAAAGCCCTAATAAGGCCCTAAACCCTAAACCCCTAAAGCCCTAAAGCCTAAACACGAAGCCCTGCATGGAGCCTGAAATCCCCAGACCTTGAAGGTTGAAAGAAGGTTGAACCCACCGGTTTGGAGTTTAAGTTCTTGGTTTCCTCCCCTAAACCCTAAACCCCTAAACCCTATTTAGGGTTTAGGGTTTAGGGTTTAGGGTTTAGGGTTTAGGGTTTAGGGTTTAGGAAACTCACCACACCGCCGACCCTAAACCCTAGACCTCAAACCCAAAACCCTACACCCGAAACAAGAAACTCCAAGCCCCTGAGCCCACAAAAAAAAAGAAACACAAAAGCCCTCTACTCCAAACCCTAAGCCCACAAAACAAAAAGCCCTCTAAAAGCCCTAAGGCCCTACTAAACCCTTATAGTGGGCCTTAGAGTAACGCTTATAGACCCTTTAAGAGCCCTTCAGAGGACTATTCTAATTACTAAAGCCCCAGAAGCCCCGGAGGTCGTCATCCTAAACCCTCGACCCTAAACCCTAAACCTCGAAACCCTAGACACCTGAGCCCTAAACCCTAAACCCTAAACCCTCTAAAAAAGCCCTAAAGCCCTAGCAGCCCTAGACCCCAAACCCTAAACCCTAAACCCTAAAAGCCTTAAAAAGCCTTAAAAAGCCCCTAAAAAGCCCTAAAAAGCACCGGAAGCCCGGGAGGTCGTCAACCTAAACCCTAAACCCTAAACCCTAAACCCTAAACCCTAAACCCTAAACCCTAAAAAGCCTTAAAAAGCCCTAAAACCCCGGAAGCCCCGGAGGTCGTCATGAAGTACGATCGCGCCGTGCACAAGACTCTGGGCTCCTGCCTCGAGGCCTCGCATTGCTTTTGGGGGGTTTAGGGTTTAGGGTTTAGGGTTTAGGGTTTAGGGTTTAGGGGCCGTATTATAATAAGGACCCCAAAAGGGACCATAATTTTGACAACCACCCTTTTGCAGACGCCGGGCTTTAGGTTTAGGGG